CTGAACGCGATTAGCGATGAGCGATGAGCGATATCCAATGAGAGCTCTTATTTTTTCTTAAAGCAATAAGTACTCACTCTTGTGTGAGTATGATATTGAGTATTGATATTCAATCCAGTGTGAATCTAGCATAAGGCAGTGCTTGCAGTGCGCACTAAGGCTTGTTTAAGGTATGTTATTATATTTAGAGATTATCTTAAATAAATTCTCCAATATTTTTAACCAGTAATATAATATGTACAACATCGTACGAGTCATTTTATTAACTAAAATGTCTTTAAATGTATATTTAAGACACGATCTTAAATATAAGAATGTACTGTAAACAAGCCTTAGCGCGTACTCAGTGCGCACTAGTGCAAGCTACCGAATTCGCTATTAGCATGTAACATTGTACGCCGGCGCGAAAGCAAGTACCAGCGTCATACGAGCGCGAATTTTGGGCCCCAACACGACGTCGATGCTCCAGTTTTAAACGGCTGTAACTCGCGAATAAGTCGACGAAATCGAGTTACGAATAAAATAAAAAGAAGTCTTTTTGGCGCGCGTTTCCAAGCGTCTATGCCGTCCCTTCATTGCTCATTTGAAAGAGTCGAATGTGATCGATTAAAGCACGAGTAAACACGATAACACGAGCAACATGCAGCCTTTTTTATTCACGATTCAAATTGTTCCTTTCTTAGTTTCGTCTATTGTAACAGCAGCGAAATTAATATAGTTGCTGTGCATCACAAAGTGAAGGAACAATTATCGTGATTATTTGCAAAATGATAGAAGACTGTTCCGTTCAACTTAATAAATTCTGCTAATTAGTAATAATTCTAAAATAATTTTTAGAATTCTTTTTTATTAGTAATGATTCCCGAAAATAATTTCTAGAAAAAAATATTGAATGTTCGAATAAACGTTTGAGTAAACAAGACATAAACGTAAAACGAGCAGTTAGGAACAAAATTAAGAACAAAAGAAATAAAAGGCAATACATCATAATAGCCACAATACGTGACTATTAAAGATACCAACATTTTGCTCATTGAAAGATCGAGGCAGATCGATCTCTAAACGTAATTACTTTTTTGGATTAAATATTTCAATTATCGTTTTCAAAAGATGAGACGGTCGAAGAAACAACAAAGGAAAATCTTGTGTTCCGGCAAAAATTTCACGTGGTTATTCGGCACCATGTCAGAATGTCTACACTGAAAAAAAAGTTTGGTAATACTTACCAAATGTGTTTTACCATACCATTTAGTAAATAGTAACCAATATGGTAAATGTTACCAAATATTTGGTAATAATTACAAAATTATTAGTAACATTAACTTTCATATAGTAATATTCACCTCTTATATTTAGTTGATACTATTTCACTAAATGTAATAATTATAACACAGGCTGGAAATTATTACCAGAAATTTTTCTCAATGTATTATTCGTTTCATGCGTCACTTTTTTCCAATTAGTAATATCGAAGTATATGATGTAATCAACGTCCACACATACACATACATACACACATCAGAAAGTTTCACAAACTCCAACGCGGCAATAAGATAGATCGGTACTTTTCTCACATTGTTATCGTCGACGTGAGCAATTAATGCATTGTGGCCATTAGAGAAGCGGGAGAGAATGCAAAGAAAATGATTTGTACTATATAGATATACGTAAATATAAATATAGATATATATATATATATATATATATATATATATATATATATATATATATATA